CAGCTGTAACACCACTGAAAGTCATGAGGACCTGTTCTTACCCATATGCCCAGTTGTTCCCAGATCCTTGTCTCTGACAAAAGCATGCATGCTGACCATATTTCCATCGGCCAGCCTGGGCAGCTCTGGATAGGGTTTGATTGATAGCTTTAGGTTCCATGTCAACAAGCACAGCCCGGGCAACCGGAACTAGAGTAGGGAAAAGGGAAAAATAGCCTGTTTTATGTCAGTACCACAGAGCACCAACTTCTAAGTCCCTAAACCATATTGCCAGCCCCAGAGTCAGTTCTTTGTGTCTACATTTTAATTTAGGGGTTGGAGGCAGGGTACGTGCATAGCCTGCTGAGGTCTTGGGTTCAAACCCCAGCATGGGGTGGGGAAAGAAAATCAAAGGACCTCCCTGGTAAGATGGAAGGGATGGGCGTAGATACTTCGAAGATGTTCACATAGAGTAAGGAGAGGGCTGTTGACCACACCTACCTCCATTTTCTTCCTCTCTGAAAAATCTTTCACTGCAAGATGCTTGATAGGCTTCATTTTCTCTCTTAGAGCAGAGTCCCTGGGAACAGTGTGAGTCTCTAAATAAAGTATCAAACACTTCAAAACCAATCTGGTTGCCACACTGCCCAAGCTGCACGGTTACTATGGACATGACAAGCCACCAACTAGGCCTCTTCTGAAACACAAGAGAGTGGGTAAGCTGCAAAAAAAAAAAAAAAAAAAAGACACAGACATGAGAAACCACCACATTACTAACAAGAGCAAACAATATGCCATGTGTTCATGACACAGATGTAAGGGGCTGGAGAGATGGCCCAGTGGTTAAAGTACTTGCTCCTCTTGCAGAAGTCCCAAGTTTGGGTCTCAGCACCTACACTAGTGCCTGTAACTCCAGCTCTAGGGGATCCAACACCCTCTTCTGGCCTTCCAAGGAATTGTATGCACACGGTGCACATACAGGTATGGAGGTATTCACATACAACATCAAAATAAATTTTTTAGAAAATGAAGAACTTATGTACACAGGGGCTGGAGGGATGGCTCAGAGGTTAAGAGCACTGGCTGCTCTTGCAGAGGTCCTGAGTTCAATTCCCAGCACCTACATGGTGGCTCACATCTATAATGAGATCTGGTGCTCTCTTCTGGCTTGCAGGCATACATGTAGGCAGAACACTGTATATGTAATAAATAAATAAATCTTTAAAATACATATATATATATATATATATATATATGTACACTAACAAAAAGTAATTTTTTGTCTGTGCATGGAGGCACACATCTTTAATTCTAGCACTCAGAAGGCAGAGGCATGTGGAGCTCTGTGAGTTCCAGGCCAGCTCATAAGACTGTCTAAAGTGTGTGTGTGTGTGTGTGTGTGTGTGTGTGTGTGTGTGTGTGTGTGTGTGTGTTTGAGACAGGGTCCCAGGCTGGCCTGGCTTCGAACTCACAGAGATCAGCTTGTTTCTGTCTCTGGCGTGCTGGGATGAAGGGCGTGCAGCACCACGCTTGGCAATCTATCATACTTGACTCTGCCATCAAAAAGCATGTCAGGGGAGCTGCAGGAAGCAGCATTGAGTTAAGAATGGATTTTAACGGATTTAAGCAAGGGTGTTGATGGAAAGAGAGGCATTTAAGAAAAGGATGTTGCATCCCCAGGGTGAGGTGTGGACTTCTCAAGAATCACATTTAAGTGTCTTAGCAACAGTTACATATATTAATGGGATTTTGTTGTCTTTTTACTTATGTTTGTGGGTTGTTGTTTTTTTTTTTTGGAGACAGGACTTCACTATGTGGCTCTGGCTGTCCTGGAACTCACTATGTAGACCAGGCCAGCCTCAAACTCACAGAGATTCTCCTGCCTCTGCTTCCTGAGTGCTGGGAATTTATTCTTAGGTGCATATTTTGGCTATGTGTATATCTGTCCACTACATGCATGCAGTGCCTTCTGGGGCCAGAAGTGGGTATCCTATCCTCTGGGACTGCAGTTACAATTGCCTTGTAGAGGCTGGGAACTGAACCTGGGTCCTCTGCAAGAACAGCAAATTCTCTCAACTACCAAGGCATCTTTTCAGCCTGATTTTATTGTTTTCTGACAATACTTTGTTCAAAGACTTTCTAAGAGAATGCTTTTTCTTTTCCTCTCTTTTTTGGTGAAATTACAAAGTAGTTCCTAGTGTCACCAGTGAGAACATAGGCCGATAAGGTAAAAACCATATGGCACAAAGGTTAAAGGAAGACTACACTTGAAAGTCACAGACTCTTAGGCCTTAAGCATGGCTCATTACTAGTTTAACATTCTTTTTTTGTTTGTTTGTTTTTGTTTTTCAAGACAAGGTTTCTTTGTGAAAAACTCACTCTGTAGACCAGGCTGGCCTCACACTCACAGAGATCCACCTACCTCTGCCTCCCAAATGCTCCCAAAAAAGCCACCCGGCTTATTTTAACACTCTTATTTGAAATAGTTCTATATAAAAGGAATATTGTCTCCACATAAACAACAGAGACTTTTGTTAATAGTGTGCATGTGTGTGGCCCTTGCTTTCTGCCGGGTTTGAGGCTGGGTCTCTCTTGTTGTCTGCATCTGTGTATATCAGGCTGGCTGGCCTGTGAGTCCAGGGATTCTCTGTCTCCACTCCCCTTCTGTCCATAGGAGTGCCGGGATTACAGATATGTGCTACTGCATCTGTTTAGAATGGGTTCTGGAGATTCGAACTCAGATCCTCACACTTGCACAGCAAGTGCTTTACTCCTGGAGCCATTTCCCCAGTTGCCTGTGCATCCCGTTCCTGACCTTCCCGTGTTCTTAAACTTTTCCTGTCTTTCTACCCTGCCTGCATCTAAGAATCTAGTCATCTAAAGACATTTTCTTACTCTATAGAATTTGGGGGGGGGGGCGATTACTGTACTCAAATTCATTCTCACACACAGTTCAATAGTTTCCAAAATATGATTTGTACTCACCATTTTCCCCAAGTATGTTTTCAAAAGAAATCAAAACAAACCAAAACAAAAATGTTCATTGAGGGGGCTGGAGAGATGGCTCAGTGGTTAAGATCACTGACTGCTCTTCCAGCGGTCCTGAGTTCAATTCCCAGCAACCACATGGTGGCTCACAACCATCTGTAATGAGATCTGGTACCCTCTTCTGGCCTGCAAGGACACATGCAGACAGAACACTATGTATAATAAATAAATAAATCTTAAAACAAAAATGTTCATTGAGGGAGCTGTGTAATCACGAGGACCAGAGTTCAGATGCCAGCACCCACCGAGCAAGCCTGGTGTAGGCCTGTAGTTTCAGGTCTGAGTCGGTGTAGACAGAAGGATCACTGGGGATGGCTTCCAGCTTGGCTGAGAAAACACTGCCCCAGGTTCAGAGAGAGGGAAGGAGGGAGGAAGGGAGAGGAGGGAGAGACCCTGCCTCAAAGGAATATATGAAGAGTGATAAAGGAAATAAAGTGATAACCAATCGGATGCCCTCCTCTCCTCTGCATTTGCATAAATGCTCACATCCACACACACACAGGTGCATACACACTCTTACACAAATAAATTAGTTAATATAATGCTGACTGAAGGAATTCTTTGTATTCACTTCACACCACATGGATACCAGAAGTTAGCTTAATAACCAAACATCCATCTAACATTAATTTTTCTGTCTTCCAAGAAAATGACTTATTTTTTGCCGGGCGGTGGTGGCGCACGCCTTTAATCCCAGCACTTGGGAGGCAGAGGCAGGCGGATCTCTGTGAGTTCGAGGCCAGCCTGAACTACCAAGTGAGTTCCAGGAAAAGGCGCAAAGCTACACAGAGAAACCCTGTCTCGAAAAAACAAAAAACAAAAAAAAAAAAAAAAAAAAAAAAAAAAAAAAAAAAAAAAAAAGACTTATTTTTTCTTTTTCCACCAAGCAGCTTCTGGCCTGGTAAGTACAATTAAGATCAATAAGGAATGTTTTATGTTTAGTTCCAGTATTAAAACGAAGTTGGAGCCGGGCACACTGGCTCATGCCTTTGATCCCAGCACTTGGGAAGCAGAGGCAGGCAGCCCTCTTATGAGTTCAAGGCCAGCCTGGTCTACATAGTGAGACCTGCTCTCGGAAAGAAAAGAAAGAAAAAAAATTTGGAGCTTAGAGAAAGGCCAGATAAAATATTAAAGTAAGTCTTTATTATGTTTATACAACAAAAGAGGGTTCTTTGTTTTGAGACGAGGTCTCCCTATGTAGCCCAGTCAGGCCTGGACTGGCTAACTAGTCTGAGCTGTCTTCAAACACGTCATCTTTCTACCCCAGACTCCCCGAAAGCAGGGATTATAGGCGTGTGCCACTATGCCCGGTAAATAGTATTTTTGATAAACGCTTCACATCAAGTCTATGTAGCCCTGAAAATGAGCCGAGGCTATCGAACCGGACTAAGCCGGCATTGTAGGTAATACTATTCTCATTTTACAGATACGGAAGTTGAGTTACCGAAGGGTTATGAACCTTTCCAAAGCCACTGAATTAGCAAACAGCAAGGCCAAGACGCTCTCTTTGCCTTTCTGCCCTACGAGCTCCCCATTAGCCCCACACTCACTGACAGTTCTCCGACTCGCAGTTTCAGTTCGGTTCAAACTTCAGAAGACCAACCCTCTCACTATGCGCATGCTCACTTTCCATACTCTCAAAAAACTACCGAGAACGAATGAATGCGCATGCTCCTTATACAAAGAGCTCTGCTAACATTTTTTTCCCCTTTCCTTTCCCCCTCTTCTATTTAGAAAGGTTAATCACGCATGTTCAATTTTAATTTATCAACTTCAGATATGGTACGCATGCTCGGTGTCCAGCAAAACGCCTTAGACAGTAGCGCGCATGCTCTACTTTCCTGGCTTGGCTTCGGTTGGTGTTCTGCGCATGTCCTTGCCAGTACCTGGCGCCAGGAGATAGTGCTACGCATGTCCGCTGCCCACTGTTGGCTTCACGGAACCTTGTACGCATGCTCCGGGGCTGAACTTGAGGAGCCAGTCTGGGGCCTAGGCGCAGACGCATTGAGTTTAAGCAGCCGGTGATGGCGGCAGCAGCAGTGGAGTCTGCGGCGGGTCCGGGCCCATGAGGCGACGACGGAGGCGGGACGGCTTTTACCCAGCGCCTGACTTCCGAGACAGGGAAGCTGAGGACATGGCAGGAGTGTTTGACATAGACCTGGACCAGCCAGAGGACGCAGGCTCCGAGGATGAGCTGGAGGAGGGGGTGAGGCCCGGGGTCTCGGGGGATGGGGGGGCGAGGTGACAGGGCCGGGGTGGCGGCGTGGGCCCTGGAAGCCTGGTGTGTCCTAGGGCGCGGAGACCCGGGGGGCCGCGAGCGGTCTCCGGGAGGAGCTGAGGCGCCGCGCGGCCGAGCGAGCCAGCGAGGGAGCGGGCGGGGCGGACCTGGCCCTAGGTGTGAGGCCTCTGCGGGGCCCCCGCGCAGGTGCAGGGCTCGCCCGGAGCCCGAGAGCAGCGCAGCCCCGAGCGATGGGTTTCTGGAACGCCGAGCAGAAAAGGCGCGCGCGCGCGGTCGGCATCTGGAGCCGTGGGTTCTGGATGTGGCCGGGATGGTGTGAGCGTGTGCAGGGGTGGGGGCGGGGGTGGGGGCTGATCTTGCCGGGTGTCCCCTAAGTGCAGGTGTGAGGTGCGGAAGGGTTTCCCTTTGGAGTGTAAGATTGCAAGCCCTGAAATCTTCGGACTCCCCACAACCACCTCTTTTCTCGGCCTGTCGCTTCTCTCCTAGGAAGCGCTCAGCTGTTAGAAGTGACAGCTGAAAACTTCTGTCGGGAGTAGCGCTGCCGCTGCTGTTACAGCCACCAGGAGTTTTATTTCGGGAGCAAGGGGGCTCTGCTGCATCTTCCAGGGTTTGTTTGTTTGCCTTTTATTTTTAACCCCCCTTCCGTGTGACATTTTAAAGGAGAAAAAAAAAAAGACCATTCACAACGACACACGGCATTTGTAAGTTAATTTCCCTCAAGTTGAAGATGTCTATATTCCCCCCCCCCCCGGAATAATTTATGTAATTGTAGGGTGGGGGAAAAAAAAACAGCGTTGACAGCTGTGATTTGTCTCGCCAAAAATAAATTGCCTGAACAGAGACTTGTGAATAGTGGTGTGAGGGCTTTCCTTGCCGAAGTTTAAATTTAGAATCGCTTTTCCTAATGCACATCTTGGTTTTTACCTTTGCTGCCCTAGTAGTTTGTTATTTGTGGAATTTCATCTTTTCTAACATAATAGTTACTGAAACATACACATATTATTACACCGAAGGTTAAAAAAAGTGAGATGTCAAACTAAACCGATTTAGGACAAATATCCTTAGTAATAACCTCATGGTGATTAAATGCGGCCATTTGTGTAAGGATGGATTTATGGCTGATGTTAGATATTTGCTGTATTTATATGGGGCTCCTCTTCTCACCCTCAGTTTTCCTTCCTTAGTAAATAAAGTGTACCCTTCTGGCAAAAGAGAAAGGTCTTTTTAGGTCTCTGAACACTTTATGAAATTAAGTGGGCCAACAAAGTATCAATCAAATGACTCAGAATTACACTGTTCCAAATGTGGGTTTTGAGACACACACACACTTCTTAAATGTGGGGTTCCACTTAGCCTTTTAATCAAACGTGGTGAATACTAAATTTGAAACAAATACCGAGTTACTTTAGTTATAAATGTGATACACTGTTGAGCTCTATTGGTCCCATATGGCTGTGGCTCTGGAGTAGGGCCAGAGAGGAGGCTGCAGAGGAGGCTGGCTTTTCTGAGTGCTGTCGTTAGGTACTGGTGGACTTTTCAGTCTGTGCGCTCCTATGGCTCTTTGGAGAGTCCAGTGTTGTGATTCTTGGGATGAACTGGGGCCTTGTTTCTTTATCTTTTCATTTTCTTAATGTACTTCAGGAATAGTAGAAGTTCCAGGTTTGGCCTACTCTTGGGACAGGAAAAGTGGATAAGAAAATGAAATGTGACCACTAACTTAGGGAAAGGGAATTGGGAGGACGAGCAGAAGTAATTAAGGAGGATTTTGAAGAGGAGCGCTTTTAAGTTGAAATGTTTCTCTTGAGTGCATTCTTTAAAAAAACAAAACCAAAAATACAATGTGTCACTGGGTAGCCAGGTGGCCTCAAACTCAAAATTCTCCTGCTTCAGGCTCCTGAGTGCCAAGAATACAGGCGGGGCCTGCACCGCCAGGCCTTGATTGAGTGTGTTACTAAGATAATGTCTTAACGTCTCAAGGTGGATAAAGGGAAAGAGATGAGATGGAGTTGGGTCCGCTACCTAAAGAGAGTCAGTCTAGGTTACTTTGGGGAAAAAAAAGTAGAAAAAGTATGGTAACAGTTTAGATTCTTAAGAAAATCTTATGTTTCCTATGGTGAATGTACAACTTTTCCTTTGTTATGTAAACCTTTTGTTAACATAGGTGGCATGTCAGAGCAGCCCCCACTGCTTTCTTTTATGATAAGGAAACTGAGGCACAGGCCAGAGAAGTGATTGCCCACAGTTAGTGTCTTCTGACTCAGTTCAGCAGATTATATTGTATAGATTTAAGTGTCTTGGACAAGACGGCTGGTCCAGTGGGAAAAGACACTTGCCACCAGAAGTTTTGAGCCTGAAGACTTGAGGTTGATAGATTTGATTGACATGGACCTACTGTGTAGCTATACTGGCCTTCAACTTGTGGTTCTCCTTGATCCTCCTGCCCTTCTCCCCTGTGTGCTGGGGTTGTAGGTTTGCACCCCCAAATCTGGCTTGCACACAGACTCTTTCACATTTATTTATTTTGATGAGGAAGGTGTGCAATAGCACGTGTGGGGGTCAGAGGACAACTTGGGAGAGCCAGTTCCCTCTTTCCATCGTGTAGGGAACCTGAGGCTCAAACTCAGGTCCCTAGACTTGGCAGCAAGGGCCTTGACTAGCTGAGCCATTTCATTGACTCCTGCATAGATTCTTTTTGAAATCTTACTACGTTTCTGTGTGTGTGTGTGTGTGCATGCACATTGTGGGGAAGATGACAGCTTGTGGGAGTTGGTTCAGAGGAGTGAGCCAGGCCATCAGGCTTGGTGACAAGCTCCATCACCCACAGGACCATCTCACAGTCCTGCATTCTTGATTGCATTTGTTAGCGCAGTCACAGTGTGCTATTTGTAAGTCAAGTTGAACTCAGTAAAAGAAAAATAGGGACTACAGATCTCTTTGGCCATACTCATGAACTATGGCATCTAGAGTAAACTGATACTGTTTTCTTCCTTGTAAAGTGAGGGTTAAATGAAATAAAATATAAAGTATTCTCAAGATACTCTGGCTTATTGGGCAGTTTGCCATCTCGTGGACTGTAGCTTGTTATCACTAGTCATTGCTGAGTTCCAGAGTGATTCGAGTTTACCTTCAGCTGTTCAGAGCTGGATGTTTTTAGAACTATAGTATTTTTTAAAGAATTGATCACACGGATAACAACTTTGTAGGTATTTTGTACCGGTGAATCTATATTAGTAAGTATAGGCATTTATGTAGTTAATTCTTTAGATGTAAATGATGAAACTAAATTAATGGTTTATAGATAAAACTGAATGGCTACTATCTAAAAACAAACAGAATAAAAGCCTTAAAGGTATAAAGTAATGGACAATCACACTAAAGAGTAAGAGGATTGTGATTATGAGAGGGCATTTCTCTTCCTGTTGTTTGTCTATATTTCTGTGGTAATAAGTTGAAACTAAGAATTTTGTTAGATTATGAAAATGTTGGATGCTTTGCTTTTTCTGCCAGTTAAAAACTTGAAATAATTACTGAGACATATTACACAAGTTTTAGAATGAGATAGCAGATTTTTGTTCGACACAAAAGTATATTACTGCCAGGTGTGGCGGCACATGATTTAATCCCAATAGTCAGGTGGATCTGAGTTAAAGGCCATTATAGCAAGGTCTGTATAGCAAGTTATAGCCAGGGGTACATAGAATGACCCAGTCTCAAAAGAAAATTTTTTTAAAAGTTTATTATTATTATTATTATTATTATTATTATTATTATTATTATTAGGGCCTAGCTGGACAGGTCAGTGGGTAAAGGAGCTTGCTGCCAAGCTGACAACCTAAATTTAATGTTTGATTCCTGGAACCCACATGATGGGAAGAGAGAACTGACTTCCACAAGTTGACTCTTGACCTCCACATGTGTACCATGCCATGAACTTGAGCACTTATTCTCAAGTACCCAGGCACACACAAGCATGTGCACACGCACGCGCGCGCGCACACACACACATACAGACTCATTGGATTTTTTTTTTTTTTTTAAAGATAGGTTCTAGGGTGATGGTGGTGGTGGTGGTGGTGGTGCACATCTTTAATCCCAGCACTGGGGAGACAGAGCCAGGTGGATCTCTGTGAGTTTAAGACCAGACTGTTACATATCCTGTCTTGAAACTACCCCCATCCCCCCCCCCCCAAAAAAAAAAGATAGTGTCTTATTGTGTAGCTCTGGCTGGAACTCACAAAGATCCATCTGTTTCTGTCTCCCAATATGTGAGCTACCAGACTTAGCCTATTTATTATTTTTGAGGTAGGGTAGCGTGTAGCCTAGACTGCCTTCCCTTCACCTCCCAAGAGCCAGAAATACAAGTATGCCCTGCCATGCCCATACTATACCCCCACTTTGTGTTTGGAAACAAGGTCTCACTATGTAGTCCAGCTTGGCCTCAAACTCAGAGCCTATTGCCTTAGCATCCCAGAGGTGCAGTTACATGTGCTACCACGTAGCTTGGAGATTTGTTCTAGTTCATGTCTGGATTAAGGATAAGTTTTCCCATTGGGGAACAGTACATTTAAAATCTTTATGAAGTGCTTACTTTCATTGAGACTTCATGCTTATTAATTATAGTTTAGAGGGCTTAAAAGTTTTTTTGAAATTATGATATCACTACATTTTTCCCTTCCCTTTTCTCTCTCCAAACCGTCCTATATACCCCTCCCTGCTCTCCTTCTAATTCATGGCCTCTTTTTCATTAATTGTTATTGCATGCATGTATGTGTATGTATATACTTACACACACACACACACACACACACACACACACACACACACACACATACACACATATTTGTTTTTTGTTTCTTGAGACATGGTTTCTCCGTGTAGCTTTGGAGCCTATCCTGGAACTCGCTCTGTTATCCAAGCTGGCCTCGAACTCACAGAGATCTGCCTGCCTCTGGTGCACACCCCCCACCCCCACCGGCCAGTGCTGGGATTAAAGGTGTGTGCCACCACCTCCCAGCACATATATATTTCTTTACATGCATTTTTTTATTTAAAAATTTGCAAATACTGGTAGGCTAGTTTGACACAGTCTATCTTGTATAATAATTTGCCTTAGCAAGAGTCTACTTCACACATGTCAATCTTTTTTGGGATGTGTGTTTTGAGACAGGGTTTTCTTGGCCCTCCTGGAGCCCGCTCTGTAGACCAGGCTAGCCTAAACTCAGAGATCCACCTGCCTCTGCCTCTCAAGTGCTGGCATTAAAGGCGTGCGCCACCACTGCCCAAAAAGATTTGTTTGTTTATTTATTTATTTATTTATTTATTTATTTATTTATTTATTGAGAGATTTATCTATCTATCTATCTTTCTATCTATCTATCTATTTAATGTATGTGGGTGTTTGGTCTGCATGCATGTCAGCACACCAGAAAAGGGGATGGGATCCCATGGGACTGTAGTTATATATGTTGTTGGGAATTGAACCCAGGACCACTGAGCCATCTCGACAGCCTCCACACAGGTGAATCTTAAAGCAGCAGGAGAAAATTCTGCATGAGAAGAATTTCCTTTGAAAGAGTGTTGTCATTAGTGTGTGTTTCAGTGTGCATTTGCATACCTGGTGAGCGATTTCTGTAAAGTGACAGAATGGAATTGTGCCTCTGATGTCTCTGCTCTGGGAAGTAACGGTAGGAAGTTGGTGCAGGTGCAGGTGCAGGTGGTGGAGCAGGCTCCGGAAGTGAACCACAGCCTGGGGGCATGTCTGCTGAGGTGCCTTCAAAGGAGGTTCCCTGTTAACTACTCTGTGGTCTTGAATTTAGAATTAAGCAAAGCCAACATTAAAGAAAAACACAGTTGTGTAACACCAGTTTATCACATCTGAGAGAAGTTAGTCATTTGTCTTTACAGTGCAGCTGTGATTGTATGAAGGACGGAAACTAAAAACCTGCTCTACCGGTGGGTTTTTGTTTGGTTTTGGATACAGGGTCTCACTATATAGCCTTGTCTAGTCTGAAACTCTCTCTCTCTCTCTCTTCGGTTTTTTGAGACAGGGTTTCTCTGTGTAACAGTCCTGACTGTCCTGGAACCCGATTTGTAGAATAGGTTGGCCTTGAACTCACTGAGATCTGCCTGCCTCTGCCTCTGGAGTGCTAGGATTAAAGGCATGCGCCACCACCGCCTGGCTGGAACTCTCTCTAGAACAGGTTAGCCTGGAACTCACAGAGATCTGTCTGCCTCTGCCTTCCAAGTATTGTGATTAAAGGTGTTCTCCACCATGTCCAACTTATTTTTTAAGTATTTATTTTTTATTTTATGCATATGGGTGTTTTGCCTGCACATCACATGTGTGTAGTGCCCTTGGAGGCTAGAAGGCATTGCATCCCTTGGGACTGGAATTATTGATGCTTATGAACCCACCACGTGGGTGCTGGGAATTGAACCCGGGTCCTCTGGAAGAGCAGCCAATGTTCTTAGTCATTGAGCCATCTCTCCAGCTCTGACCAGCTGTGTTTAACCTATTTGTTTAAGATAGGGTCTCCCTGTGTAACATGGCTGTCCTGGTACTCCCCATGAAGACCAGGTTGGCCTTAAACTCACAGATATTCTCCTGCCTCTGCTTCTAGAATGTTGTGATTAAAGGTGTGTTATCATGCCCAGCCTATGTTTAACTTTTTAAAAAACATTTTAAGTGTAGGTGTGTTTTGTCTGTCTGTATGTCTGTGGGCCACTTGCGTGTTTGCTGCCCTCAGATGTCAGGTTCCCTGAACTAGAACTACACACACTTGTGAGGAGGCACTGTGTGGATGCTAGAAATGTATCCTAGGTCCTCTGGAAGAGCAGCCAGGGCTCTTCACTGCTGAGCCATCTGTCCAGTCAGGCTATGTTGAACTTCTTAAGAGATTACCAAACTATTTTCCCATTTTACACTCACACTAGCAGTATGTGATGGTTTCTCCCCTCTCCCTCTCTTCCCTTCTCTGCAGTCCTAGTGAATGGGAAGGTGTAGCTTATTATGTCTCCATGCAGCTTTCTTCTAGTACTAATGTTGAATATCTTTCTGTGTGGTTATTGTTCATTTTATGTCTTCTTTGGAAAACACCTAGTCAGAGCCTAACTTGTTTTTCAAAAATTGTTATCTTCTTATTCTTTTTCTGTGGGTTTTCTTTTCACCTTTTCTTATAGGGGAGTGGAGGGCCTAGGTGTGCTGGGAATCAAACCTAGGACTTTGCACATTCCAGTACAGTGCTCTGACTCTGAGATATATTCCAAGCACCCCCCCTTTTTTTTTTTTATTAAAAAATAATTTGCTTATCTTTATTTTATGTGCATTGATGTTTTAGCCTGCATGTATATCTATGTGAGGGTGTCAGATCTTGGAGTTACTGACACCTGTTAGCTGCCATGTGGGTGCTGTGAATTGAACCCATGTCCTCTGGAAGAGCAGTCAGTGCTCTTAACCACTGAGCCATCTCTCCAGCCCCGGCCTTTTGTTTTTGATATGAGGTCTTAACAAGTTGTTCAGGATGGCTGTGAATATAGTCTATGGAAAGTCTTGAATTTATGGATCTCAGTCTCTTAATCAAGTAGTTAGAATTGATTACAAGCCTATTTATTATACTTGCCCCCCCCATGTATGTGTATGTATGTATGTATGTATGTATGTATGTATGTATGTGTGTAGAGTCTTGTTGTTTCACCCTGGTTGGCCTGGAACTCGCTGTTTAAGTATTTCTTCTTCCTGCATCTCAAATGCTGGGATTATAGGCATGCAGTATCATGCCCAACGTCTAAAGTATACTTAATTTTAATTTTAAATTTGTGTGTGTGTGTGTGTGTGTGTGTGTGTGTGTGTGTGTGTGTGTGTGTGTGTACATGGCTGGAAGTGCCTGAGGAAGACAGAAGAGGGTTTCAAATTCTCCCCCAATCATGCCCATGCTGCAGTTACAAATTGTTGTGAGCTGCCCGTTGTGGGTCCTGGGAATTGACCTTGGGTTCTCTGTAAGAGCAGCATATGCATTCTTTTAACTCTGAGCCATCTCTTCAGCCCCACATCTAAATTGTTGGATTTCGTTTTGTTTGGTATTTTTGCAATTGTTTGTTTTGTGAGACAGGGTCTCATATGTAGACCAGACAGAGAAATGTCTGCCTTGGCCTCCCAGGTGTTGATATCAAAGGCATGTGCCACCATGCCCGGCCATCTAAGCTATTTTTATGGATTCTATTGTGAGTTTCTCAATTTAATTTTGGGTTTGTTCATTGCCAGTACACAATAGGTTAATTACAATTTTTACTTATTCTATGGCTAAAATAAATGTTTGGCCAGTGTAATGTTTAATCGTTAGATTGGCTGATGAATTACTTTGCTTTGATTAGCTACATTGCACATTATCTATCTTGGACTAGTTGTGGTTGCCTTAGGCTGAGTTCATGACATGTTGGTACCCAACAGAAGCATATAATTTGACTCAGTATCTTAGAATGTAATACCTGTAACTTCAGAATAAAAATTGTATTTTAAATAGATGATAAGTATAATTGCTGAAGGAGAATTCACTTGCTTTTGTTTTAGGTTATGAATGAGTAGCTACTGTAGTTAGTAGTATAAAATGAAAAAACTTAGCTGGGTGGTGGCACTTGCCTGTAGTCCCAGCACTGGTGAGGTAGAGGCTGGTAGATCTCTGTGAGTTCCAGGCCAGCCTGGTCTATAGATCCAGTTCCAGGATAGCCAGGACTACACAGAGAAACCCTGTCTCAAAACAAACAAACAGTCAAAACAAAAAAGAAAAAACTTGAAAGTACAGTGTCCCTAGTGTTGTGGTGTGCTTTACTTTGTTCACCACTAGTTGGTTTGGAGTGAAGTAGACATTTTAAGCTGGTGTATTTCAATTATTTTCTCTAAATTATGAGATAAAGCATTGAAAGTCTTAAGTTTTGCATTTCTGGTGTTATTTATGTCTAAAACTTCAAATATTTTTCAGGGTCAGTTAAATGAAAGCATGGACCATGGGGGAGTTGGACCATATGAACTGTAAGTGTATATGAAAAGACTTACATTGTGCTTTCAAGTAGGTTGTAGCAACCTGTTCATAGCCTCAAGGGGTTCTATTTAATAATCTATTTTTAAACATGACTCATATTTGCAAAGTTGTTTGTTGATTTGCTGAATATAAGATGAGAATTCAATATTCTGTGTGTAGAAAAAGATGAAATATGAGTTCAAATTGGTTAGGAATTTTTAATTCTTTTTTTTTTTTTTTTTTCAAGACAAGATTTCTCTGTATAGCCTTGGCTCCTGAAACTCACTCTGACTCACTCTGTAGACCAGGCTGGCCTGGAACTCAGAGATTCATCTGCCTCTGCCTCCTGAGTGCTGGTATTAAAGGTGTGCACCACCACCACCCAGTGAATTTTTACTTATTTAATTCAGAAAACTGTATTTGCAACTGTTTCTTATTGAAAAACTTATGCCAGTGGCCCCAAATACTTTAACACGTGGTTCAGACAGAGAGATGAATGAAATTTTAGGTCCCGTTGAACAGATTCTGTTAGGTAAGTATATGACTAATCTGCTCCTAACCCCACCCTTCAGTAAAGAGCATGACAAGAGCTGAGAAGACAGAATACTCACATGAGAAGCATGTACATGACCTACACAGTTGCCAGTCCTTTTTTGGAGATTTAAGCTAGTAACTTGGAAAAGCCAGACATGGGAAGAAGTTCAGATATATTTTATTATCAAAAGATTTTAAACAAAACAAATCTCAGTGTGGTGGTGAGTGCCTATAATCCTTGCACTCAGGCTGAGGCAGAAGGATGACTTTGAGGCCAGCCTGGGTTGCCTAATCATTTTGAGATAGGCCTGAGTTGTATAACAACTTATTGAGTCATTTCTGAAAGATCCTAGATTTTCTGCTAAAGTTGCCAGATGATGTTGGGTAATCTCGTGGACATTTTGAATGAACTAAATTTGAATAACTAGAAGGTTTGTTTACTTCATCGTTTTAGTAAACATGATCTAATTTTCTTAGTTTAGGGGTGCTTGATATTTAAGTAAATAAATAATAATAGCATGTTCTATGAGCAAACAGATAAGCAGTTACCAGTCTACCCTGATCCTGACCAGCCACGTCATTAAATCAGCCATCAGTTAACTTCGTTCACAGATACTAAACTTACTGTCATGTGCTTTTTTTCTTTTACCTAACTGGATTCTGTTTCCTTTTCTCCTTTCTAACTATGTGCTGATATAATTGAACTTTTTGCAAATTTACTTCTGGTTTTGCTTTTCTTCCCAGTGGCATGGAACATTGTGAGAAATTTGAAATCTCAGAAACTAGTGTGAACAGAGGGCCAGAAAAAATCAGACCAGAATGTTTTGAGCTACTTCGGGTACTTGGTAAAGGGGGCTATGGAAAGGTAGGAAGTGTTTTTGAAATAGCTGTCTTTGATTTGTGTAGTTTGGTTCTCCTCATCAGTGTAGGATTTCACTGTGACTTGTATAATCTGAGGGTATATTAAATGTCCCCCCTTCCCACCACTCACACAGACATAATGTAGGTCCTGAGTATTTGCTGGATAAGTGAGCAGCTGACTTGCCTGTCGGCTCTGCTGTCCAGCAGTGCTTCCATCTTTGCCCCAGGGCACCTTGTGTAGGACTCCTCTGTAAACACGGGCAGACCTCTCCTCACTTCAGGCACGTTCAACTGTGTGCTCCTGAGGCTGAATCCGAATGGATTTTCTTTGACTTGCAGCATCTAAGAAATAGGAAAGATGAAAGAAAGACCGTAAGAAAGGGGTTTCATAGTTTTGTCCTAGGCTTTCTAATTTAAGACCTCACCTTTATATGTTCTGCCCAAGACAACTTATAACCCAGACATCCCTTCCCTCTTAAGAGAGTTTAACAACTTGGTTATATCAAGAACTATCTGTACTATCCCAATGTTAGTTTTTAGAAGTGTGACATTTTCAGTTTATTTTTAAGGTTAAGGGCACACTAGAATACATTCTAATCGTCCTGAATATGTAACAATTTGAATCTTACATGTGTTGTTAATTAAAGGTATTGGGTAAGTAGACATTTTAATGGAGCGAGTAAAAATCTGTCAGTTACTATTAGTGTTGTGTGAAATAATAACAGTTGTATCCTTAGAATAAATTTATGTAAAAAAACTGAGAAATTTGCTTTTTAAATTTGGGAACACTGATAGTTTGTGCTCAGTGAACTAGGATTTTGTGTAGTGCTGTTTAGTTGGGTATTTCCCAACACTGCCATCAGGTGGCAGACAATCACAGAAAGTCCCCCATGTAACAGCTTTCTCCAGTAAATTCTAACATGTGGCCTCTCTAAGGGATCATTTTTGTGCACAGTCCTTTGTGATGCACTTTTTACAGTATAAACCACAGTATTACATGTTTCTTATAAATGGGTATTATGGAAGATGACCTGCATGGTTTGGCTTTTGATAATGTGCAAACACTTATTTCTTTGTCCAGGTTTTTCAAGTACGAAAAGTAACAGGAGCAAATACTGGGAAGATATTTGCCATGAAGGTGCTTAAAAAGGTGACTCCTTTCCCCCTTTTCACTCTCAATGCTATACCTTAATTGCTATAAGTTTTCAGTCGGAAAAATGTGTCTGTAGGCACTGTGGTTTTAACTCAGTAGTAGAGTTCAGTAGATAGGTTCAATGTACATGATACCCTGGGTTTAATCTGCAGCACTTCTTCCCTGCAAAAGGAAGAGTATTTATAATCATTCTCCTTGTAGAATGGGAATGATGTTGTGAGGTGTATTTTGTTTTATACTTGTTTATTTCTGAAAAGGGTAGAAAGGGAAGCACTTTCAGTTCTCTGAGGGACACTGAGCTTCTTCTGGTCTCCATGTTTCTAAGTAGTAAGCATATTATTACTCTTTTATACAGCACTTCTAGATTATATGTTAATTTCCTATGAAGATAGTTAAGGATTTTAATTTCTTCCACTCCTAACTTACTTTTTGTCTATCTTGCCCCTTTGGTTCATTTTCATTGACTCTCCTATTGTGTTCTCTAGTTTTTTTGTTTGTTTTTTTGAGACAGGATCTCATGCAGCCAAGACTGGCCTTGAACTTCTGGCCCTCCTGTCTTCATCGCCTGGGATTACAGGTGTGCACTACTATGCCTAGCTTCCTTAGGAGCCTTTTATTCCCTGTTCCAGTCTGTACTGTTAGCTCTCTAGACATGTCTGTCATTAAGAGACTCCCTTCAATCCTGGCTCTCAACTATTCCATTCTGTTTTCTTGCATGTCATGACTTTGTAGTTCTTTATTTATACCGTTTTCTTGTTGTAGTGACCATCTTGCCTTGAGAAAAAGTTCTTGAAGATTTTTGTTTATAATTGTTTTTTGTTGGTGGTGGTGAGACAGGCTCACTATACAGTCCAGGCTGGCCTTGAACTCATGATTTTGTTGACTCAGCCTTCCAAATTCAGCCATAACTTACAAGTGTTATGTAACCATGCTAGGCATGTTACTTCTCCTTTCATAACTGAGTTCATATAGCTGATAACCAAACCAATATCAAACAGATTGTTGAATAGAAAAGTATGGGGCATAGTCAGAGGGGGAAGTCCAGCAGGAGATTTGTATTTGGGAGCTAGTGGTAGTACTGTAACTGGTAAACACCAGAGTCTAGAGCTCCAGGGAGGAGCTCTGAGCCCTCACTAACTCCTCACTTTGTTTTCTAGTACTACACTAATGTCATCAGAACAAATTTGATTCATATTTTACATTTTTCTTTATTTTCAATCTTTGTGTACACCTGTGTGTGTATGTGTGTGAGTATAGGTATTTATGTGCCATGGCATGCATATGGAGGTCAGAGGGAGATATTGGGTGTTGGTGCTCACTTTTTACCTATTCAGAGGAAGTTCTTTTGTTAGTCTCCACTGTATGCACCAGATGAGCTGATGTACTTCTGAGCTGCTCCTGGCCTCTGCCTCCATCTTTGCTGCAGAGCACTGGGATTGCAGACATGGTTCTGGAGAGTCAAATTCAGGTCCTCATACTTGTGAGCCTTCTCCCCAGCCATGATTCATATTGTTGCACTGTCCCACTGAGCCATACCCCCAACCTTTGTTTGTTTTTCTTTGCCACAGGGACTCACTGTAGCCTAGAAGTCATTATAGAGACCAGGCTGGCCGTAGACCTATAAAGTTGCTGGCCTCTGCTTCCAGAGTTCTGGAATTAAAGGCGTGTTCCACCATGCCTTTAAAGGATCCATATTTTAAAATTGTACTTTTGAGGCAGGGTTTTACTATGTAACCTAGCCTGGCCTCAATTTGCAGTCTTCCTTCCTGTCCTAGTCTCTTGTGTGCTTGACTATAGGCATGTGCAGGGTCACCTGGCTGAGACTCTATGGTACCTTTGTACTTCTTTGATTGTTCAGAGGGTCTGTGTGTGTGTGTGTGTGTGTGGTGCTGGAGTTTGAACATGGGGTCTCATGTTCTAAGCCAGCCGGCTATTACTGTGTCGTATTCCCCACCCAGCCCCTGGGAATATTTTTAGTGTTGAAAATAATTTTTACTTAGAATTTTGCTCTTTTTTTTTCTTGAGAGTTTTTGCTGAGAAGTCTTTTGCAAGTCTGATTTCCAATCCTTTTTCTCAAAAATGTTACATATTTCCTTCCTTCCTTCCTTCCTTCCTTCCTTCCTTCCTTCCTTCCTTCCTTCCTTCCTTCCTTCCTTCCTTCCTTCCTTCC